CGGCTTTAAACATTCTTCACAGCGGGTGATTGGGTCTTGATTTGCTGGGTGCGTTCAGCTGAGTCACTGTCCCCAAACAATATGAGAAATAAAATGCTGGCCACGCTTGGATGGCCAGCAGATACCTCCTGATCTGTGGGGCCAATTACACGGGCCGCTCCTCGCAAGCAGGCCCGGCGCCCCCACCTCTAAGAAAGTCCTGCTTAGAAACAGAAGGTGGACAGCCCCCGAGACAGAGAAGCTGTTTAGTGCCAGGCCCTGCGCAGGAATGGGGGATGGACATGGTTGGTGCTCTATTACAGGTGGGGAAACCGAGGCATGGAGAGCAAGGGGCCCTGTCAAGGTCACATGTGAGGGAAAGGCAGACCTGGGCCAAGGTCACATGTGAGGGAGAGGCAGACCTGGGCCAAGGTCACATGTGAGGGAGAGGCAGACCTGGGTCTAGGAACCCGGTTATCTGCTTGATGTTCAAATGGTGTGCATTCCTGACCCAGCTCTGCCATAAGCACCCCAGGGGGCTCTTGCTCCCCTCGAGGGCAATCCAGTGGGGATTTCTCTGTACCCTTAGACTGTCTGTGGAGTGACTGCAGGTTCCTCACCTGGATCCAACAGCCCCAGTGAGCAGGCTCAGAGCCCTTTCTACATGGGAGGTGTTTCTGTGAGTCTCAGTAGGGGAGTCCAGTGGTCAGCGACCTATGCTCACATCCCGCCCAGCCTTGTGCTGGCCATGTGGCCTCTCTATCCCTCAGTTTCCCCATCTATAAAGTGGGCATCTTAACAGTGTGGGACTATGTCCCTCCACCTGCACGCAGGTACTGTTAGGGACTGCCACCATCACAGGTCCCTGCATAACAAATGACTGTCATTCTCCCCCAGGGACAACCAGCCAACAACACACAGGCCCGCTGATGGCTCCAGCTTTCTCTCTGGACAGCTCCCCTTCACACCCCTGACACCTGCTGCCGCTGGGGGCACGCTGGGGCAGCCCATGTTCCTGGGTCTACCTCTCAGCTCCACTTCCCATGAGACAGCCGCTGGCCCCGTCAGAGCCTCCGAGCCCTCACCCGTAAGATGGGAGTGACAGAGAATGCCCGTCTCGGGGGGTCCTTTGCAGGGCTTTAGCAGAATTGCCTGCTGTGAATGACCCGTGGCTGAAGAGACCAGCTGAGAGACAGCAGAGTCCCCCCAAGATCCTAAAGAGTGTGGGCCCTGCAAGGTCTGGAGGCAGAGCTCCTACCTGTACCCCTGGCTTGACAGGTGCTTCCATGACTTGGCAGGACCGAGTCACATGCTAGCCATCAAGTGCTTCCACCCAGAAGGGACATGTGCCACTTCTCCTGGCATTTCACTAACCATGTAGTGAGTCACACCATGGCATTACACTTCTCCCTGAGGGGGATGAACGAGGACAATAATCCTGTAGATGTGTTCAGGAGGAAGAGAAGCAGGACGTGTGGCAATTCTCCAGAGGAACCTCCCCACCCCTACACAGGCACCATGAATCCCAGTCCACACACATACAAGTGGCTTTCTAGAATGTCACTTAATGTCCTACTTCACCCTATCCTGCTGAGTGGGTGGAAGATTTCATCCCTGTCATTCTTTGGGGCTTTCTGCCTGGTCCATGGTTCTGGTCAAGTTCCCAGGGTCTGGTGCAGTGCCAGGCTGTCAGGAGAGGAAAGCTCTAGTACCCTTTATCCTGGGCTGAATTGTGTCCTCCCCCCAATTAGGAGAAGCCCTAAGACTCAGCACCTCAGAATGCGACGGTATTTGGAGACAAGGCCTTTGAGAACTGATTAAATTAAAATAAGGCCATCAGGGTGGCCTTGGAAGAAGAGGAAATGTAGGCGCCCAGAGAGGCAGCAGGAATGTGCATGCACAGAAGAAAGGCCAGCTGAGGATTGAACAAGTGTGCCAGAGAGAGACTGGCCTCCAGGGAAGCCGACTCTGCCCACATCTTGATCCCAGACTTCCAGCCTCTGGAGCCAGGAGAAAAAATTATCTTTTTTTAGCCACCCAGTCTGTGGTACTTTCTTGCGGCAACACCAGCAGGCCAATACCCCAATGGTCCTGTGTTCACACCTGTTATCACTGAGGCCTCTGGTGCTCCTGGCTACGGGGACCTGCAGATTTCAGAGTTCGGCTGTGTCCACATCACACTTGGGCCAGGGTACCCCTTGGCAGCAGCCAAGGACCCTGTGCCAAGGGTCTTCCTCCCTATGCTCCCAAGAGTGCTGTGTTATCCGGAGCCTGCCCTTATCCATGCTTGGGTCCTCAACATCCAAGGAACACATAGACCTCATTCCCAAGGGAATTCCCCACCTGTTTCTTTCCACCAGCCCCTGCTGCCTTCTGTAACCCAAGGGATTTGGGACAAAGTCAGGAGGTCATCCACCAGCTGTGGGCTTCTCTGGGCAAGGAAGGACAAGACCAAACTCCCACTGACATGGGAGAAAGAAGAAGGTGAAGATCAGGAAGGAAAAGACACAATTACCATCTCAAAATATTATCCTGTCTCCTGCAAGTGACCCCTTGGGGGGGCATGTTCTGATCCTCACGTTTCCATTAGGGCCAAGTTTGCTATAAACAAGATGGTTTTTCTCTCATGTTAAAGAAGCCTGTTGGTAGCAGTCCACTACTGGTACAGCAACACCACCATCCTTAGGGACAGGGATTATCGTTTTGTCTATTTGAGCGTCCTCGATGGATGAGGCTGAACTTCCCAATGTCACCTCATCATCCAGAATGGCTACTGGAGAACCAGCCATCACATCTGCATTCCAGGAAGCAGGAAGGAAAGACAAGAGAACAAAGGAGCAGAGCTCCTAGCTCAGTTAGCTCCCCTTAAACAGTCTGTGCTAAAGAAAGTTTCTCCTATTTCTGCTAACACCCCACTGACCAGACTTTAGTCACATGAGTGACTACAGTGGGGGCAGGGAATATCACCTTATACCCAGGTGCTTCCCTGAACCACAAAACATCAGGGCGTGGTCACTAAGAAAGGGAAATTAGGTATTAGGTGGCAACTGGTCATCTGATACCCTGAGACACTATGAGGAACTTGAAGGTCAGAGAGAAGACACGACTTGGCCCCCCCAATCCACACCCCGTGAGTGGCAGCAGTAGGGATGCAGAACTTGCACTTGGGCCACATACAATGAACCCCATAACCATACCAAGGTCTCAGAAACCCCTGCATTCTGGTTGGTCTTCGGCATGATGTTTGTTACCATCCAGATATAACACATAGAATGAGGTCCTGGCAGAACAGAAGTGAGCAGGTCTTTTCAGGAAAATCAAAAATTTGAATGGCAGACAGTGTCGGTGAGGCCTTACTGGTAGAAGTTAACACTGACTGGTCCAGCCTCTTTGAAGAGCCTGTTGGCTCAGATTAGTTTCAACTATAAGAGAAAAATCCAAAGGGGTTGAAATTGAGTAGACCTTATTTCTCACTCATCCTCAAAAAGTCATCCTAAGGGGCAAAGTCCAAGGCGACTGCAGACGCACCAGCATCAGGACACGGGCTCCTTCTATCTTGCTGCACTTCCATGAAAGGCTTTCATTACCAAGATGCTCTGTGACTCAAGATGGCTGCTACGATGCCAGCCTAGAAGAAAGAGCCTGTCCTCTCCATAAGGAAGTTGCATGCATGCTTGTATCCCATTGGCCAGAACTTAGTCTCATGGCCACACCCATCCACAGGGACAGCTGGAAAATGTAGTCTTGTTCCAGGAAGCTGTGTAACCAGCTTTTAAAAAAAATCAGGGATTCGATTACAATGGAAGCAAAGGGGGGCACACTGGAGGACAGCTATTAGTCTCTGCCAGAAGACTGTAAGACTAATTAAAACTAATTAAGACTGTGTGCTCCAGTAATTCCACGTGCATGAGTTACCGAAAGCGTATTTGTAAGGATGTTTGTCACGGAGTTGTCTACTGTTGCAAAATGTATCAGGAACAAAAACCGCCCTGCCACCTGACACGGAAGGATCCCAAGATCAAGTGTCAAGTGAAGAACAGACAGACAGAACATCTACATTCCCAGAACAGGGTAAAGCGTATACACAAGGGTGAACACACACAGGCACCTCCGGCCAGCAGCGAAGCCCCTGGCCTTGTCAGTGCTTCTGGGGCAGGGGACAGGGAAAGTGAGGCCAGGGCGGGGAGGAGATCCATGCTCCACTGTGCACCTCCCTGCGCAGGGTGAACTTTTCTTGTGCATGTTACCTATTAAAAAACAAATTTTAAGATGGGCAGTAGGCTTCAAGCCTCTTTTTGTCTATGGATGCCTCCCCGTTGACAGGGCTGTTTGCTTAGGCATCGCACTGAGCAAACCCAGGCTGTCACTCTGGCTTCTCAAATAGCACTGGCCTGTCCAGGCCTCTCTATCCAGCCCCCAATACATGCCCTGCTTGGAATGCCCGGCAGGCCTCCATCTCCCACCCACCAGGCTTCTAAGAAAGCTCTGAGGAGAAACCTCCTGGCCCACTCCTGGCCAGCTCTCTGGGTCCCAGATCCCAGGGAGCATGGCACGTTGGCCCCACAGTCACAAATTGTGTTGGTAATTCTTACAGCAGGCCTTGCAACACAGGCCTCTTTATCCCCATTTCACAGATGGTGAGCTGAAGCTAGGGGAGGGGAAGCAGCCGGTCCAGGAGAGCAGAGCAGAAGGCACAGAGAAAGGACAGGACCTGCAGGGCTCACTCCAAACCCCACGCTCCCCAACAGGGTTGGGAAATGGCAGCTCACAGAACCATGTTTCCCTTTCCACAATCCTCTTGTCTGCTCAGATGGGGACCCAAGATATGGGGCACTGGGATCCGACTGTCCTCCGCTTCTCCAGCAGCCAGGGCCTGAGCACTGGCCAGTGTTCCTCCATTGAACAAATGAAGCAACCCAGAGCCTCCCAGGGCTTGGGACACAGAAGGACCTGCCAGGACCTCTGATCATCGCAGGGTTTCACCCCAGCCCTCGGGCTCCTAAGAGGAACCTCTACAGCCGCACCTTCTGTTCCTTTTGTTTTTTTATTAAAAAATAGATCCAGAAAATATACACACTTCCACCCACCTGCCAGAGTGGGCTTTGAGGAGGCCAAAGCGCAATGGGGAAGAGGCAGAGGGATGAGAAGAGCCAGACCGGTCCTGAGTGCCCAGGCTTTGGAGAAAGGAGGTACCCCCAGCCGGCCTAGCCAGGCCTGCCCCTGAGAGATCAGAGTCTGAGCCAGTGGAACAGGGAGAGAGCAGGTGGAAGGGTGAGGCAGCCCCCAGCTAGAGCAGAGGTGGCCAAAAGCAACTGGGCGCACAGAGGGCGAGACAGGGCCTGCCTGGGGCTGCTGCCCATAGAAGGTCCCATGACCTCGTCCTCCTCCCCCCCAGGGACTTGGCACTCCCTAGTCTTCTCTCCAGCCTGCCCTCCATGGGCCCCACCGGGCCTTCCGGGTCATGGTGGCCACACTCAGGCGTTGATAGCCTTCCAGCGCTCACTGTCTGTGCTGTTGATGCTACCCGTGTGGCAGGGCATGGAAGCGATGTCGTCCAGGTAGGCCACCCCACCGGCTGAGTCAAACTGCGTGCTGGCAGCTCCTGCCGCCTCCGGGCCCTCCCGCCGGGCCACAGCGTAGGGCTGGGGCAGGTGCATATCTGGTTCTTCCGTCTCGTCCACTTGGCATTTGTAGGAAAAGAGGATCTTGGGCTCCGAGCTGGTGGGGAGGAGAGAGGGGTGGCAGAGCCCCACTGTCTGGTCAGGAGAAGGCTCCTTCTCCAAACAGTAAGCCTGCTGCCCAATGGCTGCCCCAGGAGATCCCCAAAGCTTGGACTCTGGAGTCTAAGGGGCCACGGGCGCCCCCGCATGGGCCTGTTTTAAAACTCAGCCCACGTGTGAACTTGAACAAGGACAGGTTTCTCACTTGCCTGTTTCTCACTGTAAAGTGGGTACAACTCTGACCTCAAGAGGCTCTTAGCAGAGGGTAAACAGAGGTAAATTCTGGCCCGAGGTGCTTAGCAAACACCAGTGGCAACCTCCACCATTGCAGCTTTTATGACCACCTACTTGGAGCTCTCCTGGGCCATGTTGCTGAGCAGGGAGAGGGCAGGTAGAAGGGGGTCCCTCAATGCTCAGGGTAACTCTGACAGGGAACAGCTGTACCCAATTTACAAAAAGGAGCCCGAGGCCAGGGAGATAAATGTGTGTGCAAGGTCCCACACAGATCAGGGCTGGGCTGATGAGAGCCAATACAACCCCTCTCACCCTCCTCTGATGCCTTGCCCACCCCCCTCCGGTCCCCTGCCACCTCTTCAGATCCAGCTTTTCCACCACATCAGAGGCCCAGGATCCAACCATCAATCCTCCATGTCCTTAGCATCCTGTCTCCCTGACACGCCTCCAAACACAGACAGACACCAACGTGCACCTCCCCCATTATCCACTCCACACCGGCCTCCCGCAACCCTGCTCCCCTCCCCAGCCACTCCCAGTGAGCATCCAGGAGCGTGGTGATTTGTGTCTTCTTTGTTCCCTGTCAGAACGTGGCAGCTGCAGCAGTGCCCGACACCTAACAGGTGCTCAGTGAATGCTTGCGGAAAAGACTGAGCGGAGTCTTCTACAATGAAAAGCAAGCAAGTGTAGAACACTGCGCATAGACACTCTCTTGTGGGGAAAGTGTATATGCCTGTGTATGTTGCATATAGAATGTGTATATGCATGTATGTGCATGCATGTGTGCATATGCATATATGTGTGTATGAACGCGTGGGTACAGACACATACACACCATCTGTCTCATTCTTCCCAGTGCCTGAACTGGGTGGGAGCAGGGAGCCGGGGGACCCTGAAGCGGAGGATGCGCATGCGCATGGAGCTGGAGGCGCAGTTCCGCAGGCAGCCACGCGGGGGCGCCCGTGGCCCTCAAACCACCGGCCGCTGGGTGGTGAGCAGGGCACCAGCTACCACGCCCCCCCCCGCCCCCCCAACCCCGGTCCCACGCCCACTGCCTGCGCCACGCACCCCACCAATCCCGGTGGGAAAACTCACCCAAAGAAGCCCCGCAGGAAGGCCACGTAGATGAGGGGCGCAAAGAAGCTGAAGTAGAGAAATGTGGTGGCATCTACACAGCTGGGGGCAGGGCAGGAGCAGATCAGGGAGGGGCCTCCTCTGAATGGGACCTGGGCTTAGCCTCCCCTGCCCGCCGCTCCCAGTCCCGCCTCGCCCCACCTACCAGAGACCCTCGATGATGTCCGCGCAGAGCAACGCACTTCCCAGCCCCTGTAGCAGGTTGAGCAACGCCAGAATGCCCGCGTACACGTAGAAGCTCCTTCGCGCTGGGGGGTTGGGGACCGTGAGGCCCTGACCTTGCCTCCACCCTTCATCCCCAGCGAGTCACCTGAGGCCCTTCTGGGCCGCCAAGAGGACCCCTCCCTCTCACCAAGGGCTCTCCAACAGAAGACCCTCCCTTACACCCAACACCGACCCAGAGCCACCCACTAGCTGCTTACAAGGCAGGGAGATGCGCTCCTTCAGTGGGGTCTTGGGGAGCACGACCACCAGAGAGTAGACCTGCAGAGACAGCCAGGCTGAGAAGGATGCTGGGGACACCGAGCCCAGAGCTAAGCCCGGGACCAAGACATCCAGACCCCTGCCTCAGGCTCTGAGACCCATGTAGCCACCCCCCAGAGTGCCAGGCCCAGAAAGGAGAGAGGGCCCTCTCCACCTCACCAGGAAGAAGAAGCAGGAGCTGACCAGCCAGAACTGGCGGCCCCCATGCCCGTAGATGTTGAAGTCCTCAGCCGACAGGTGGGCGTCAGGGTACAGGATCTCCAGTGTCCCCTGCAGGGGCAGGCATGGGATGGCCTCAGTCTCCTGCCACCTGGAAATCCTGGAGTCTCCCTAATACAAAGCACTCAGAGCTCTCCACCACAGCAAGCCCAGCTCCCTGGCCAGGCCTGCTCCAGACTGCTCATGGCCCCGCTCTTCTCCCTACCCACTCGGCTCCCAACACCCAGAGGAGGCCCTTGCCATGGAGTAGGGAACTGAGCTCGGCAGGAAGTAGCCGCTGCCAACTCTAAGGAAGGAGTCTCTAGATGTACAACTCTCAGTGTGGTCTGCAAACCTGTATGTTAGGGTACCTGGGCTGCTGTGACAACAGCAGGTTCCAGGCATTCTCCCCGCCCCTACCCCAGCCTATGGACTGGACTGGTTGGTGGCAGGGAGAACCTGCCTTGTTAACAAGCACCCTAGGTAATTCAAACCTGGACCCAGAGCCAGGGAACAGAGGATGCTCGGCCCCCAGTGACCCCTGACCTCCTCTAGGGAGCCCCCCTAGCTGCCCCTGCCCCCCACCTCCCCCTTTACCTGGGTGACCGAGTAGGCCAGGGACAGCACCGTGGTGATGGCCAGCACCCGCTTGATGCTTGACTTGCTCTCCAGGTGACCTGGAAGAAACGTGCTGGTCAGGGAGAGGAAGCGAGCCGTGGGAGACCGTGGTGGGGTCGGTGCCCACTAGGGAGGGACAGGGAGAGCGCTGGCCCCAGCAGCACACGCACCAAAGGCAAGGCCCAGGATGACCACGCTCAGCTCGATGGCCAACAGGAAGAAGCGGGTAATCTCCCACAGGATCTGGACACAGAGTGGGCAGAGTGTCAGCCTGGGGGCCCGGTCACCCCTCTCCCCAGCGCCCCGCATCCCCCCACCCTTGTCAGCAGGCCCAGCCACACCTTATCAGCAACAGTTGCAGCATCCGAGGTGCTGACCGTCATGGACACCACGGCTCGAGCGATGCCCACCAGCGCCACCACAAACACCTGGTGGGCAAGAGTGGGGATGCTATGATGGGGTCAGGGAATGAGACCACTGTGAGGCACAAGGCATCACAGGAGCCTCAGATTCTCTGAGAACAGAAGGATTCCAAACTCAGAGTCAGGAGTGGGATGCAGGGAGGTGGGGTGACCCTCCACGGCTGGTAACCTCTGCCTGGCCTTTCCCTCTCCGGCCTCAGTTTCCTGGCTATACTGGCAGCCTTAGAATGGCTAGTGGGGTGACGGTAGAGCCCCACAGCCAGGCTGGAATGCCAGCCCTGCTGCTTCCTGCCTCTGTGACCTCAGCCAAGGACCAGCACCTTCGTGCCTCAGTTTCCTCATCTATGAAATGGGGTGAAACTAGGTTCTACTGTATTTGATGGCTGTGAGGAGCAAATGGGTAAATCGATATAGTGGAAGCGAGCCTGGCAGCCGGTAAGGGCTGGATACACATTTTCCTTCAGTGCCGTCACATTAGCACTTTTAATACCCAGCCATGGAGGAGAGGAGGCTGCAGGGAAGAGACCTGAGACCCTGGGGAAGACTGCTGCCCCTTCTGTCTCGCAGAAGTGCCTGCGCTCAAAATCCTGGATACCAGCAATTTGTCAACCTGGTATCCACTCCCTCCCTCTGGCAACAGCCTCCTTCCTCTCCCTGCTGCTCATGTGGCTCAGGGGCCAGGGGGGTAGGGGGTGAGGGAGAGGGGGGGTCTTGACCCAAATTCAGGGACTGGCCTATAACCCAGGGCTGGCCATTTGACACATGCTATTCCCTGATTTGGGGATGGGGTGGGACCCAAGGGAATCTAGTGACAGGCACAGCTAGGACACCAGGTGCAGCCACTGGAAAGGAAGCTGGTGGGGCAGGGGGGTTGGGGCGGGGGGGCAGGTTGTAAGTCCGGAGCTGCTGGGCTGCCTGGCTCCATGAGCACGGGACTGTTGACAAGGCCACTGGAGAGACCCCAGCTGAGAGGGAGACTGAGACTGTGTCCCCACAGTCTTGTGGAGTCCCTGAATCCAGCCAGTCTGAAACCCCGGGACTTGTCAGTTTCTCCATCAATACATTCCCTCCAGCTTCCAGGAGTTTCACTTTGGTTTTCTGATACATGTAAACACAAGAGTCCAGATACATACACAGTTTGTCCTTTGTGCCACGAACCCCGTGTGGAACTCTCGGGGAGGCTGACACCACTCAAGAGGATGGGCTATAGAAGCAGCCAAATGCTGTGTGCCTACTGTATGCCCGGCTGCCAGCGGGCTAGGGCTAAGGGCGTGGTCTTCTTTGGTGGTCACAGGCCTGCCTCAGGCTAAAGCAGGCCCAGCACACATGATGTGGGAAGGAGGGCACCGAGGAACAGAGAGGCCAAACCACCAGTCCAAGGTCATATGGCATAGCTGGGGCCTGGAGGCAATCTGCCTGAGCCAATGCTCACCACTGTCTCCTGAGCTCTCTAGAAAGAAGTCCCCAGGAATACGAGGGCAGGGGCAGCGCTGAGTCCCCCAGCACTGCCTCATGGAGGCAGCAGTGGGCATTCTTCTGTCAGCAAGCATCTCTTCCCCTGCCCTCTACAAACGGCTCCCCAGTTTTCCTCCAAGGGCCACCATCCTCTGCAGTGCACACAGCCTGGCTGAGTTGATCCCACCGTCCCAGCCCCAGAGTGCCCCTTCCCTGCTAGTCACAGAGACTGGCTCAGGGACCAACAGGGGATCCAAGGCAGGCCGGTCAGAGGGAGTCCCAGGTCCACACTAGCACCACCAGGAAAGCAGTCCTCTTCCACTGGCATGGGCAGGGAGACAGGATGTCAGCTTACAGCTGCTCTTGGCTAATTTGGACACCGGCAAGGGAGGGTTCTTCTGAGGTGAACCTTGAGGATGTCCGTTTACCCATGGATCCAGCCACGTCTGAAGCTGGACTTCATCACAGAAACAGTCAGTAATTCCCCTTTTCACCTACGCCCATTGGAGTTAGGTTTTTCTGTCACCCGTTGGGAGTGAACTCACCAGGATATAGAAGGTGATAAAAATAGGGCTGGAGGTGACACGGATCTTGGCCCGAGCAAACGGAAGCTTCCAGAGCAGGAAGATGAAGAAGAGCACATTGGGGATGAGCAGCAAGAGGTCCCAGTACCGGACCCTAGCAGATGGGGACAGAAGCCAGCCACCTGGTAAGGTTCTGTCTACAATGCCCCGTCCCCGCCCCCATCACACACACCACACCCATGCATGCTGCGCACAGGGGAAACCCACTCAGGGCCACGGCCTGCCTCACCTGGAGGTTCCGATATCCTCGTAGAGCAGCAGCAGACAGCGATGTGGCATGCTGATATTGGGTGCCACGGGTGGGGGCAGGGCTGTGCTCCCGTTGGCCCAAATCACCTCTTCCAGGATGTCCATTCTGCCAGCAGCCGGGCCTGGGGGAGTGAGAGCCCCCACGTGAGTAGCGCAGCGGCTGTGTGGCCTTGCGTCTCTGGTGTCAGGTTCCCAGTAGATCCCAAGAGCGGTTACCTACCATGGGCTGGTGGACCACTCTCCCCCCAGCCAGGCAGAAGTTGAGGTGTGGCTCCCCCACATGCCACAACACAAGACCCGGACAGGGGTCCGGTCGGCTACCTTGGCCTCTGTGTCATGACCCCCACACAGTAAAGGCCACTCCCAGTGACTGAGCCTTCCTCTGTGCCAGGCACAAAAAAGCCGGCTCATGACCCCAGCTCCTCCCCCTGATCTGGGGGTCTGGGAGATAGGGAGCAGAGGGGCAAGGTCCCTGTGTCCTTGGAATGGGACTAACGACAGTGTCCACCCTGGGAGGCTGTGGTGGGCACTGAAGTGAGGTCTAGCGCCCCCTACAGCCCGCACGCACGCAGTCCTCAAGAGTCCTCCGCGCACAGCCCACTGGAGAAGGGGGGTACTGACAGTTTGCAATCATGCAGCCACTGAGCGCCAGAGTGGGGCACCATGTACACCTCAGGCGGACCACACCCCTTGCCATCCTCTGCTGCCTTCCTGGAAACGGAGACACAAATCAGGGGGACATGCACTGTGCCAGGAAGATGCACAGGAGGTCTCCAAGTGGAAAGGGGGAGGAAAGGAGAGACAGGGCAGAAGGGGCCCCACCCCAGCAGAGGGAGCTGTGTCTGCAAAGGCAATGATGGGGGGGCTGCCAGGAGACATGGGAGTCGGCAGGGGAACCCACATCCAAGAGCCTCTGAATGAGAGGTGAAGAGTCCAGCCTTAAAGACAGGAGAGCTGGTGGCGTGGGGCCTTCGGAGCCACCCTGGACCAGACAGGCTCCCAGGTCGCTGGACTCTCAGGGACCGGACCACAGCTGGGTCCGCACTGACAGCAGCAGGGACTTCTTTGGGGAACTCAGGGGGGTGCAGGGCAGGCGAGCCTGGCGTGGCCTGGGCATCAGGACATAACAGACAACAGTGTTAAAATGATGACCAGAACAGATGAAGCCTTATGACCTGGAATCTCCACTTCTGGGTACGTTTGTAACTGCCCAGGGCTAGCAACGGCCCAGACGCCCGCCATCAGCAGTACACACACGTACGCGGTGCCACTCATACAAGCAGCAGAACACAAAGAGAAAGAACAGGCTACTCCTATATTGGCGACATGACAGGGCCTCACAGATATGGGGCCAAGTGGGGCTAGCTACGAGTGCATGTGTGCGGCCTGAGCCACGCACAGACCCAGGTGAGGGTCACCTTTGTGGAGGATGGAGGGCATAGTTGAGGGAGGGACACATTCCAGCTTCTGGTGCTTGATGGCGGTGGGGGGGGGTGGGACAGGGAGGGGTAACACAGGTGTGCTCACTGTGGCAAAATTCATTGAGTCTGTAATCTGTGACTTTTCTAATACTGATTTACACGTCAGTAAGTTTTAAAAAATTGAAAAATGTGTTCTGTTCACACTCTAAGAGCACAGGTCTCCCATTCAGCAAGGAGCAGCCCGGGTCGCTGGGCGCCCTGTTGGAAGATCTTCAAATGCCATGGGCACCCATGTCTGTGCTGTCACTAAGGCTACCCCTGAGCACCAGCAGGCCCGGGGTGAGGGCTGCAGGGGACGCAGGGCCTCCTAGCCACTGTTCCAAGCCATGGAACACAAGCGCTGCCTCTGGCTGAAAGGGACAGGAGACCAAAGCAGATGGGCTGAGACCTGGGGCTCAAACTCCTCCATCCTTCTCCTCAACAGGCCAGTCTCTGGCTCTGGGGTCACATCCCCACCTGCAACTTGAGGCCAAACCAACAGGGAAAAAGAACATATGCCCAACACATAGTAGGTCCAAAGAAAGGATGCATTCTTCATGCATTCTTCCACCAGCCAAGCAGCCAGCATGAAAACCATGTTAATAGAGGAGTGGGACCGAATGATGAATGGGTGACACAGTAGAGACTACCAGGGTCCTCAATATCCACACTACCCTTTAGTACTGGGGCCCATGTATTTTACCTTACATGTGGCTTCCCAGGATGATGGCTATTTTCTGAGCTTCTATTGCCACTGTATGGCCACATGACCAAGTTTTATCCAATTGGAAATGAGTAGTTAATTTAATGAGTTGGTCCATTTCAGGCCAAGCAAGTCTCCTTTCCTATTGCCTGGAATAGGGATGTGGTGGCAGGAGCAACAGCAACCACCTTAGACTGCAAAACTGAAACCATGTATTGAGAATAAGAGAGAAATGAGGAAAAGTGTCTGGGTCCCAGGCCAACATGCCTCCAGGCATATCCTGGACAGCTTGAACACAGACCATCATGCAATATGCAGGAATAATCTACTGTCTTGTTTCCTGACCTTTGTTTCCACAACTAAGCCAGAATCCCAATGAATATGAAGAGGTACTGCTTTGGACTGGGTTGTCAGACAAGCTGACATTTGCACTAGATCTAAATAATTGAGAAGGAACCGGACTTGGGAAAATATGGACAAAGAGCACACCTGGGAGAGAACAGTGAAAGCAAATGCCATGAGGTACAAACAGGCTTGGCCTGTTCAAAGGGCAAGAAGCAGGCCAGGGTGGGTGGTGGGGAGATCAGAAAGGCCGGCAGGGCCAGGTCACACAGGACCATATGGCCACCTACAATGTGACTGCATTCTGAATACAATGAGAAGGGTGTTATGAAGGCAGGTGATAGGGTCCCATGTCCACATGGAGAGGACCCCTCAGACTGCCAAGGAACATGGAATGAAACAGGGGGAGATTGGAGGCAGGGAGACCAAGGAGCTACTGTACCAGTGCAGGCAGGAGGACGGTGGCTTGACCAGTGGCTGTGGTGGGGGTGGAGTGGAGGGATCTGGGATCCCCTGGGAGGGTCAGCCAACATGAGCAGCCCACAGACACCCCGAGGGAATGCGGAAAGAGAGCAAGAATTGGTGATTTCTGGCCTGGCTACTAGGTATTTTATACCAGCTAGCCCAATGCTGCTAACGTGTCCCCACCAAACACAGCCCCCTTTTCCCCAGCTATCAAGGTGCAATTTTATTCCAGGACCCCTCCGTGATGCCCTGGGGAATAGGCAGGGGCCCCGCCCCCCAGACCAGAAGCTGAATCTTAACAACAGTAAGCCAGTGGCCTTGGGAAGGGGCAGTCTGGAACAGAACTGGACACCTCAGTAGCACACAGGGGTTCTCCAGGTTGACATGGGGATGGTGGGGGTGGGGTGCTACGATTTTTCGTGGACAGGGTCCAAGGCTGCCACATGTCCTGCAACACATGGGACAGCCCACCAAATGAATGATCGTCTTCCCCTTTGCCAACAGTGCCCCGAAGGGAGACTCTGGTCCACGTGTGGAGGGGCGTTCTCCTTGCTGGTGCCAAGTTTAGGCAATGGCAGGTGATGAAATATGGGGGAAGTCTCCCAAGAAACATTCTCCTCGCTGACCGTCAGACACCCTCCAGGAGGAAAGCCATTTCTTGGCACCTGCATGGAGCCCTTGAGGGTCTGCTGTGTGAACATGGCCATGCTGAGCATGGGGTGTGCCACTCCCCCCAAGACTTCTGTGACCTGGGAGGATGACTGATTAAGTGACCTGAGTTGAAGGAGACAGATTCCACCTCCCCCTGCGCCCCTCACCATTCTCTGTGGAGCAAACTTCAGGTCCCAGCAACCCAACACCAGCTCTGGCCTAGGACGGGGTGTCAAGCAGTCCTAGGAGGGGCAGGCCCCAGAGGGCAGGCCAAGCACCCAGTAACTGCTGAGAAGCCGAGAGGTCTCTTGTGGGGGGAAAAAAAAAAAAAAAGCCAGTGAGGATGACCAGGGCCAAGCAGCAGGAAGAATCAGATAGAGTCTGATGGGGGGAGCATCACTTGGTTTTTGCCTGTCCAGCCCCCCATTTTCCTGAAAGGGGAACCTCAGCTCCCCGGGTCTCTGTCCATGAAATTGAGGGACAGCTGACTCAAGCCCTTCACAACGCCCAAGGAGTGTGCTCATGATCTAAGCCTGGCTTATCAGGACACTCCACTGTCCCGGCCAATGAGAATCAGCACAGGACTTGCTGTAATTGCTAGGAACAGATACTTTCCGCTCCAAGTGTCATGGTACCAGACAGCTGGACCACTTTGACCCCACATGTGGCTACCCACCTGAGAATAAAGCCAACACAGAGGGATGCAGAGCTGAGAGGCAGATGGAAATCCATCCCAGGATAGAGCCTTATATGAGCTCCTGGATCTAGCCAGACCTGAAGCTAGTACTACTCCTGCACTCTTTTTAGGCATAAAATCCCACAAATTCCCTTCTCTGCTTACGTCCAGTTGAGTCTGATATCTCTAATTCACTAAGGAAAACCTTCTGGCTGACATGGGTTATGGAGTTGGACAGATTTGGGTTGCACTTCTGGCTCAGCCATTATGTGGCTGTGTGACCTTGAGTGAGTCATTTCTCCTCTCCCCGTGTCACAGGGACAAATAACACCTTCCCAACAAAGTTGTCAGGAGGATCAAACAAGAACAGAGAAGTAAATGCCTAAGAAAGGTCACACCTTGGTAACTGCTGCTTTTTTTTCCAAGAGGAAGGCCTGGGGGGTGTAAAGGGAAGAAGGATTCAGTTGGAGGGCAAGGGCCCCTTTGGAAGGAGTCTGCTCCACCAGTGCCCCCTGCTGACTCAGTGGCTGCAGCAGACACACTCCCTGAGCCCTCCCAGCCTGCGAGGGAAGTACTTCTGTTATCTTCTTGGACAAAGCTCTGGGCCTCCCAGCCACCTGCCAGGTTGTCTATTTCCAGTGCCCAGGCCCCCAAGTGGTGACTTGCCAAGTGCCCCTCTCTGGGAGCCAGTTTCTCCACCTATAGATGGAAGGCTCTGGGCTCCATCTAGAGCTACGCTTCTCACACCTGAATGTCATGAACGTGCAGATTCTGATTCAGCAGGCCAAGGGCGGGGATGACGGCCCACATTGCTAATATGATCCCAGCTGGTGCCTTTTCTCTGCTGGTCAAAGAAGCACTGTTGGCTTATGAGGCTGTTGGCCTTACCAGAATTGCCACTATGTGTCAAAGCTTGTAAAATAACTGAAGAAACAATAAAAAATAAAACAACAATGCACACTACCCTCAGACACAGGCCTAGGTGCTTTACACACTTAGTGACGCTCTCAACTATCACACCACCTCTGCGTGAGATGGAACTACTCTTGTGCCCATTGTACAGAGGGGGAAAGGAGAGGCACAAGAGGGTTAAGTCACTGGCCCCATATTCTCCTCCCTGCACCTTGGGCAAGCTCCGGGGCTTGGGAGCAGAAGCCTGGGTGGTGACAGAGAAGTAAGGGGTCTGCAGGCTCAGGAAATGGGGGACAGAGGATGGGACAGGGGAAAGGAGATGGTGGGAAGGCTGGCTGAGGGCAAGAAGAAGAAGTAGAGCCCAGATTCGAGGGATGGAATTCGCAGAGGAGTTTCCTGGAGGCTGAGTGGCTTAAGGCAAATGCAGGTCTTTCAGGACCAGGGAAACCGGAACAGACTGTTTCTTCCACCTGGGAGGTACTTTCCTGACCTTGTTAACATTCCAGAGGCCATCTTCCCACTCTCCACTTGGGCCTCCAGCTCCTTCTCACCCTCCCTGTGGCCAGCCTATGGGGCAGGCCTGGCTCCAGTCACACAGTGACTGGCCATGAGCCCCTGGAGAGGATTTTCCCTTCTCTGGGCTTCAGCTTTCCCATCTCTCATCTGTGCAATGGGGTTAACCAGGACTGGATGGGAAACCCCGGGGAAGACAGAAAGCCCCGAGCAAAAAGAGAGAGGCTATACTTCGTAGTTGCTGCAATGCCCCCTCAGTGCTTCTGACCCTTAGCAGACAGGTGAGATTATCTAAACTCTGGAAACAAAACAGATTAAGAAGGTTCCATAAGACAGACGCCAGCCCCTCATCCTTCAGGCTTGCAGGTGTGGGGAGGGGAACGCTGTTCCAGACAGGCCACTCTTGGTAAACTGCCAGCAGCCCAAGCAGGAGCCCCCAGGATGAAGTGAAGCCCCTCCTGATTTGCCCCCTGCCTGCTGCCCTGCCTCATGCCTTCCATCCTCCAGCCCCCTGGCTTCCACCTTGTTCTCCAAGCTGCTAAGCTTCCTCCTACCTCAGGGCTCTTGTGCTGGCCCTTCTGCCAGTCTCATCATTCAGGCCACCTCCTCAGCCACCTCCTCAAAGCCCTCCTTAACACATCTCTCTCAGCTAGCCCGCCCTGTGCTTTCTTTACAGCACTTGGCCTCCATCTGAAGTGGGTCCTGATGTGTTTACTGGCCACCCACCCCAGGCGTGCTCATGACCCAATCCTCTAGAATAGTCCCTGGTACAGAATAAGTTCTCAACAAAATGTTACGATGGGGACAGATGAAACTCCAGCAGAGTGCAGCCAAGCCCTTTTCAGGGGAGTGGGAGAAGGATCACCTGGGAAGACCCTCAGCCCCACCACTACCACAGAGGCAGAAAGCAAAGTCCCCCTCCACCCTCCTTCCCCTGGTCCCATGGATGCAGCACTTCTGAGCCTCCCAGAAGGCCCCTCCTGCAACAGCAGCCCTAGCTGCATAAACACCACCTCCTGCCCCTTTCTGGCTGCTGAAGGCCACAGCAAAGTTGGAGGCAGGTCCTGTCCCTTGTCTGTGGACCGAGGCACAGGCCCAAATGCAGGGCCACTGACTCTAGACTCTTCCTGCACAGTCTCAAGCCACTGGGTCCACCATCCCTCCTGGCTGGGCAGCCCTGGCCCTGCGCACCTGTAGGTGTGCACACTCCTCCTCCCCAAGCGCTCTGCCATCCCTACTCCTCCGGGCCTTCCCATTACCCGTCGCCTCTTCCTGTGAGTCCTCACCCAGGGGGCCCCCTTGGCTCTCCGAAACTTCTCCAAGGGGGTCCTCTGAGGCTGCGCCCTGAGCGGGAAGGGGTCACTCCCGGAAGAAGGAGCGGCGACAGGTGGGCCCCGGTCAAGCTGTGGAGATGGCGGTGGAGGTCCCGGTCAGCTCCCGGGTCTCCCGCAGCTGTGCGGGTAGTCATTAGATGCACCCGTGCTCTGGGTGCTCCCTGCCGGGGAGGGGCTGTAGGTGCGGCGGAGGCCAGGGGGCGTCCCGGCAGGGGCGGTCCCAGCCGCGGAAGAGGGAGGGAGCGCCCAGCCCCGCGGTAGGGCTTCAGGACGGGCGGCGACGGGGCTCCCCCTCCAGGTGTGGCGGGAAAAGGTTCCCTCCTTACCTGAGGGCCTCGGGCCGTGCTCAGGCCCCGCCGCCTGGGCCGCTCATTCGCCACCGAAGAGAGCGCCGACGAGGCGCAGACCCCGGGAGTCCGGCCTCCAGCGCCCTGGGCAGGCTGCGGGGCCAGGGAGCGTCGCGCAAGAGCCGCAGGCAGCCGGCTCCGCAGAAATGGGGGGCCGGCAGGAAAGGGGAAACGCGGTCAGCGCACCGGGCCCACCGGCCCCCAAAGGGCATGCAGCCTTTCCCAACAGCGGCGACCTGAAAACAGCCGCGACCTTTTCGTTGGGCCAAAAATGCGAAAACAGCCACTACCCCTACTTATAGCAGTCGGGCCCGCCCCCAGACCCCAGTAGCCTATAGAAATGGAGCTCCACCAAAAAGAGGGCGCAAGCCGAGGGAAAAGCCAATTAGATCCCTAAGAGGCGGGGCGACCCGCTGACCTCTTAAAGAGACAGGAAGCTGGCACTGCGGGGGAGGAAAGCAGCGCTGGGGTAGGGAAGCTGCTGCGTACCTTGCCCTGAAGGCGGCCAGGATCGCGGACCCGAGAGCCGAGGACGCTGCCGCCTCTTGGCCCTCGCGCCTGCCAGCTGTCAGCAGCTGTCAACGGACCCTCTCGCTCCAGCCTGCGCTCCTCCTCCCGGGCCCGGCCGCGGCCCGACCGTCCAGGGAGGAGTCTCCGCGGACCGCCCCCTCGCGTGCCACCGCCTCGGGCGCCCCGCAGCGGCTGTCGGGCCGGGTGACCTTTGGTCACCTGGCTGAGGAAGGAAGGATAGGGACAACCCCTCCCCCGGAACGACGCGCTTCCACAGCACGCCACGCTGCCTCCACGTCCACCATCAAAGCGCGCTGGCATCCGGGTTTCAGGCACTCATTTTCACAACAACCTTGCAGGGCGGTTATTATTAGTCGCCTTTTCAAAGGAGGAACCTGCGGCTTAGGGACGTTAAATAATTTGCCCAAAGCACACAACTAGGAAGTGGCAGAGCCTGGACGCGGGGGGTTTGAACCGCTCCTCGTCTCATCTCTAACTTCGACGGTTCTTCAGGCAACTTCCTCTGGGAAGCCTTCCGCGATTGCCCCATCCTTGCGCTTCTGACATCTATGCTGTGTTCTTGGCAGTCTCTCCTCACGCTGGCCCTGCGTGGCCCTCCCGCGTCTGAGTCCTCCTCTCCCACCCATTCCCCTCCTCAGTCGGCATGCTCCAGCCCACAGTGCTTTCTTTTTCTCTTCTTCGAATATACCGAAGCTTGTCCTGCCTCCCTCTCTTTTGCACCCGTCCCATCTGGCTGGCTCCTTGTCACATGACCTCCTTCCTGACTGCCTAGCTGAAGTAACTGTGCAGTCTCTGTCACATAATGCCCCTCTATTTCCTTCCAAGCACCATCTCTCTAACATGATTATATTCATTTACTTGCTTCCTAGTTCGTCAGCCACCCTCCACTAAAATTGTCAGTGTCATGAGGACAAAACCATGTTTGTCACATTCCTTGCAACATCCTGAGGCTGACTTGGCGCCTGGTGCAAATTGTAGACACCCACTTATCACAGTAACCCCAAGACACACACCCCGTGATAACACAGCTGCTTCACAGTTGGGCTGGAATGAGATTGGCCCCATTCTTCTAAAACAGGAGATGGAGTCACCACCTCATTACGGTTTGGGATTCAGTTAGTCTGGGACTTTCCCAGCCTGGACCGTAGTCAGCTCAGTGTGCACAGTTTCTGTATGTGCCAAGAGGGGCCGTGCTCCAGACTGATGCCTGCCTTCCTGAAAGGGCTGTGTGGGGAGTCAAGGTCAACTTCTAGAGTTGCCAGGAAGCTAAGAGCATCACCACTATTCATATTTAATTGGCAAAAACAAGTCCTAGGCCACTCCTAACCTCCAGGGGGCAGGAAACTTCCCTCCTACCATGTTCCAGGAAGAAGAAATGGAATAACTGTGACCGCCCAAAAGACTACCCTCCATCTTGTGTGTGTGTGTGTGTGTGTGTGTGTGTTAACACAGTACAGACTTTCCAGGGCAGGGAATTTGCTATTACTATTGCAATGGACAATTCTGCATTCTGTACTCTGAGTTTGGGACCTCATGTGTAGGATTTCATTTGTGGTGTAACTGAGGCTATCTATTTCATCCCCTCCCCTTCGAGGCAGAATCAGGGTCTTACTCACTGCAGTATCCCCTACACACAGGACAAAGTGTGGTGTCAGTGAAGTTCAAGAAATGGTGGTTTGAGAAACAAAGATCTGACTCCCAAGTTCAAGCCCTACACCAGGCTCAAGGGTGGCCTTGCTCTCTGGGCCATCGCTGCTACAGGGCCGGGCTCCATGAAAGCAATGGAAATCTGCAAATAACAGAAACAACACACAGCCCTCAGCTGTCAGAAGAAAAGTCAGGGCAATTGTTGCGTAATCATCTAGGACAAAGGAGCAGCCAGCAAGGCTGAATTTTCCCAGAGTTTTGAGGTCTGAGTTCTGAGGTTTCCCAGAGGTGAAGGTCCAGTGAAAGACCCTGAAACTTGTCCCCACCCACCCACCCACCTCAGCCAGGGTAGTAAGTACAAAAACATTATCACCTAGCGGGGGAAATGCAGAGATGAGCGCTATCCATGAAGACCTAAAGCATATGGAGTTGCGGGTAAACCCCATCATATCCCTAATGAATTCATCAGTCTGAACTTAAAACAATACAGGGAGTGGCAGTGGATTGCTATAGATTCAATCAAGGAGTAGCCTCAGTTGCAGCTTCCGAGCTGGTGTCCTTGCCAGCACCCATCGGCATGGCCTCAGATACCCAGCAGGGGCCTGAGATCTGACCATATGTATCAGAAACTGTTGACATTCACAGGGAAAGACAGCCACTCACATTCACGGTCTTGCCCCAGGCCAGTGGTCCCTCTACCACCTGTGTCATAATATGGTCCAAAGGGCCCTGGCCATCTGGACATTTGAGAGAACGTTGCATTGTTTTACTGTATCCATGATATCCTACTACTCTGGCCAGCTGAATGAGAAGTAACAAGTAAATGAAGACCTCAATGAGACCTAGGTGCTCCAGAAGGTGAAGGATAAGCCCTATGAAGACGTGGGGTCTTGCCACCTCAGTGGAGTCTAGCGGTCCAGGACATACCAGGACGTCCCTTCCAAAGGACAAATGATTGCATCTCACACACCCCATTGCAGGGAATGAGGCACAATGCCAGAACCCACTCTTTGGGTTCTGAAAGCAGTATATTCTACACCTGAGAATTCTGCTCTGACCTATACATTCCTGGGCAATGTAAAAGCTTTCAGGTTTGAGTGAGGCTCACAGCAAGAAGGGGCTGTCCCCTAGGTCACAGGAACCACGGACTCTATAATATTAGGGCCATATGGGGCAGGTAAATGTGCTGTGTACGTTTATGGCAAGCCCTCGTGGGAAATCCAGAATGTACATCCCTAGGGTTCTAGAGGCAGGCCAGGCCACCTACACCCGAAAATCATATACAAATTCAAAAAGCAATTCCACTGGGGTGCCTGGGTGCTCAGTGGGTTAAGCCTTTGCCTTCAGCTCAAGTCATGATTCCAGGGTCCTGGGAACAAGCCCCACATCAGGCTCTCTGTTCAGCAGGGAGCCTGCTTTCCCCCCTCTCTCTGTCTGCCTCTCTGCCTACTTGTGATCTCTCTCTGTCAAATAAATAAATAAAATTGGAAAAAAAAAAAGCAATTCCACTAGGCTGCTGGCTCCTCATGGAGATGACTAGGGGACCTCAAGTAACCATGAGGCCAGAGCTGTCCCTGATGAACTGGGTTCTATTGGGCTTGCTAAGTTGTAAATTCAGGTGGGCCCAGCAGATTATAAGCGATCCACTGTAGCTCCACATCACCTGCCCCTGTCACACCAGCCACCTCTCCCTCACTCACACCTATGACCTACTGGGAGGCCCCTCATGACCAGCTGACAAAGGGGAAAGGCCAAGTTCAATCAGAGATGAGCTGGCTCCTTATCGGATACAGTGCCTAGACCAGGAGCAGCCAGAGGGAGATCTTGAGGATAAAAGCCACAGGCTGAAGTTCCCCACTGGGGTCCCCAGTTCTCCATCCCATGGGCATGTTCACAGGGCTGGCTGTGGGGCCTCAGGACATGGCAGCTGGGTTCCACGTGACTGAGTAATTTGACAGACAGAGGGAGACAGAGAGGGAGAGCAAAGCCACAATCTTTTTATAACTTAAAATGACAAAAATGACAAAATGACATCCAGTCACTTCTGCCACGTGCTATTGGTCACACAGACCAATGTTGATCAGTGTGGGAGGAGATTACCCAAAGGTGTGACTATAAGAAGGCAGGATCATCAGGGACCATAACAGGCTTCCCCAACCCTCTTCCACATTTCCATTCCTCCTACCCTCCTCCCATTAGTATGTAAACATGCCCAAGTATCATCTCAAAAAACAGCCCTTCCTCAGAGACCTCACATCCCACTCCAGTCACTACTGCGCTGCCATAGCCCAGCTTTCCCAAAGAGTTGTCCACCTTCACCCCTTATTACTTCCCAGCACCCTCCTCCTTAACCCACTCCAGTGTGGTGTTCGACACTGACCCAGCACAGACCTGCTCTCGCCGCGGCCACCAGTGTGGTTCCTGAGCCCTACCAAACATGACTCTTGGCAGCTTGTCACCTGCTGACCTCATCTACCATCTTTTTATCCCCAAAGATTTAATTTTTTTACTATTTATTTGACAGAGAGAGAGTGTGCGCACAAGCAGTGAGAGCAGGAGAGGGAGAAGCAGCTCCCTGCCAAGCAGGGAGCCTGATGTGGGTTTCGATCCCAGGACCCTGGGACCATGACCTGAGCCGAAGGCAGTCACCTAACCAACTGAGCCACCCAGACACCCCTCCATCTACCAGCACTGTGAGAGACCTCGAGGCAGAGGCACCCAGCTAAACCACAGCCAAATCCTGGACCCACAGACACTCAGATAATACACAGTCATCGTTTTAAGTTGCTGGATTCCAGGATAATTTGCTATGCCGAAATAGATAACTAATACAATCCCACCCATGATCTCTTCTCCGGCTTCTCCTCAGCAGCTCTCAGTATCCCATCTCCTGCTCAGAGTCCTTCGTTGGTGCTTCCTGTCTTCCAGGGTTTCCCAAGTCTGGGAATACTCTCTGGGCCTTCTCTTCTCACTGCACTCACTCCCTGGACAGTCCAGCCACTCTCCAGATGATCAACAACCACAGCCTGAACCCTCTCTCAAGTCCCAGACCTGA